CCTTAACAGCAACCCAGAAGAATACCGAGCTTTGGCCCTTAATTCCCTAAATCTTGCCTAGTTTGGGTTTATTGGATACCCAGGGTAGCTGTTAAAAGTGGAGATCCTTGTCACGTTTTTCGGTTTTCACGATTCCCTACAAGGAGCAGTTAGCTAACTGCAGTCGATCTAGTAAGTCTTGCACCACTTACTTGGAGGTTCACGGGTAGTTACAGGGTGGTGCCCCTAAGTTACAACTTGGGTTGTAAGCAACTTATGCAGGGAACATCTATAGCCATAAGGCCTGTAACTATAAATCTGGGAGTTAACAGTTATCAGTACAGATGTGCAACTCGGCAGTACCACACATAGAGTTAAGCTGTAACGGTCAATGTTATTGTCACCTATAGCGCATAAAGTTGAGCGAACCCTGGCAAAACGTTTCAGACTCCCTCCAAGAAGCATGTAGATCAGTGTGTGGTCATTGCTTCATGCTTGATAGGAAAAGATGGTTTTGGGGTCCTAAGGGTTTGCGGTCCATTGCTCAGGGTGTTCGGTTATACACTCTGTCATCAGCTAGAAGACACATTTTCACTTCGAAGATTTGAGGATTGTTTTGTTTGGTACCGTTCACAACTAGCGCTTGGCTTGGGGAGCAGGAGGCACGTCTTGAGGTATACGTGGCATCCTGGATCCTGACGCAGGATTACCTTGATTCACTGCTTTGCCCAAGGGTCCATGTAGGTATATGGGTACATACCTGGGCCTTAAAGTAGGTATATGGGAACCCCTTGGGGCCCTAAGTATATACCATATACCTATATGGACCCTTTGGGTACTTTGTTTCACTGCTTTCCTAACATGTTCCGTAGGCTCCGGATCAAGTCAAAACCTTGAACCCGAAACTCTTTGGCCGACACAGCTTAGGAATAACCTCCAGGTCCCAAAAACCCATCATGTCGTGACCTATCATGCTGGCTTTATGAGCTATAGTCTAAATTCCTTAGATGGGGGTTATATAAGGGATTATATATAGGGACTATTATAGAGGTTATTAAGGGGGATACTTGGAGTTTAGACTGTGGTTCATGTACCCTCTGTTCTGGCGTTAAATGCTGTTGTTTGAGGTACATAGCAGGTCTGGGTACCCAGACAACGAAATATCCCGCATTTCGGGAATACACATTACGTAAACCGTATTAGGGATCCTAGTATCATTTAGGGCCCTAAGCACTGACTGAACCCCGAAGCCCCGATTCAGGAATATTGGGCCATCTGGATACACCTCAAACTTACTTCTCAGAGCTCTGCTGTCGGGTCATGGTCTCTGCTTTGGGGGATGACACCAAAACTGATCATAAGGGCTGTTTTGGGGCTTAGTGTTTTGGGTCTAGGTATATTTCAGTTTTGCTGTTTGACATAAGACAGTAAGTTACTAACGACTCTGTTTGTTCGACGGAAGAACACTAGTAACTAATTCTCCAGATGTAGTCATGTTCAACAGGTCCTCCCTCGACGCTCAAAACAAAGCCTGCGGGTGCATTTCTTGGCCTTCAAACCCCTGGGCTTTAAACCCTAAACCCTGAAATAGGGCTTAGGGAAAAATAGCTTTCCAATCCTAGGGTGTAGGGGAAAAGCAGCCTTCCAGTCCTTGGGCTTATAGTCTAGACCCTAAACCCTGAACTAGAGTTTAGGTTTTAGGGCAAAAGCAGCCTTCAAATCCTTGGTGAAAGCCTACGCGTTCAGCTGTAACCCAAAGGGTCCATGTGGGTATATGGCATATGCTTGGGCCATAAAATAGGTATATGAGAACCCCTTTGGGCCCTAAGTATATACCATATACCCACATGGAACCCTTTTTGTAAGGGCTCTGGAGTAACCGTAACCTGCAAATCCTGAAGCTCGGTTCCCCAAGCCTGAAACGCCAAAACCCGAAACCTTGAGACCCTAAAGTTAGGGTTTACAGCTTAGGGTTTACGGCTTAGAGTTTACGGTTTAAGATTTAGGGTTTAGGGTGGGTACTGTTTTGCTCAGGAACAGTTGGATAACAGTTATAGAATATGAAAGCACTCAGCCCTTAATATGACCCCAACATGACACATAGTCTAAACTCCTAGTATCCCCCTTCATAACCCCTTGAGTGGTCCCCTTTAGAATCCCGTCTATAACCCCCTTTAAGGAGTTTGCACTACAGTTCATACGACCTTATAGGCTGCTACTAGGCGGGGGTAATATCCAACCCACAGTCGAAATCCCATCCTGAAGCCCTAAACCCTTAGCGGTTTAGGGTTTAGGGCTTATAGGGTTTAGGATTTAGGGTTTAGGGTTTAGGGCTTAGGAAAACCCTAGCGAGATAACCTAAATGCTTAAAAATGCCAGTCTGTTGCTGAAGCCTTGGAGTTTAGAGTTTAGGGTCTATACCTACAGGAACCGAAGCCTTCAAGCAAGGGGTAAAGGTACCAAGATATTAGGTACGAAGCCCGTGTTAGTGTGTACATTGGTTGCTCTAGGTAATGGCTAAACCGTGCTTCAAACTCATTTTTTTCCGCGGAGCTAGGTGCTATCCGCCGTTGCAGCTGCAGGTGGAATTCCAGCAGCAACTGCGAGCTTGTTCAGAACTGTGTAGGTTTTTAGAGTTGGGTTTCGGATTTAGGATTGTGTGTGCTTTGTTGCTATCTGTTTCATTGAGCGTGGTAGGTCGCCTCTTCTTTTTTGGAGTCAGGGTCGTTCATGGGGATACTTATTAGCGTTTCGTGTCACCCTTGTGACGTGCCCTTGCTTCTTCAGGCTCAGGTATTCTGTGCCCAAACATGATGAATTGACCCGGCTTGTGCAAGCTACGCTCGCGAACCCATACGCTAAACTTGGTGGCTCGCGCGGGGACTAGAGCAGGCAACGTCTGCGCAGATTCTTCACGGTGTCTGCAGAGTTTTAGTTTCAGTATCAGTGGCAGGCGTAGTTGCATGTAGGCATGCGAACAGCGCTTTGAGTCCTTTCACCCAAGGAAGGCGTGAAGGAAACACCAAGTTGAAAGGCCAGTAGTACCCTGTAGCTTCGTACAAATACGACTACCGCGTTTGCAAATAGATTCCTGCCACCGAATCAGGCAGAAGGTCCTCAATGTGGAGTTCAAATGCGAGAAGGACGTTATGCTGGCTGCCGCGCCCAAATTCCCAACCTCAACCCTTAACCTTGAGGTACCAGAATATTCGGCATGATAATTCCCAAAATCACGGTCCCAACATGGGTCCATAATTTTGAGAACAACCCATATGGGTATATATATATATATGTGGTGGTTTTTCCCAAGCCGCGAACCCTACATAATCCTAAGGCGAATCTACCGAATCCCGTTGTAATCCTTGTGTATCAGGTTTAGGGTTTAGGGATCAATAGGGGCAACCCTTTGGTTTAAATTTGCACCAGCCCCCACCCACCCCCTCAGGTGTTGCGGCAATCCGGTGAGTATCTACAGTGTGCTTAATTACCAGGGGATACGAGCGTGCATCCTACACTAGTTTCCCCCGCAAAAAAATCCTTACAACTCTGCACCCTAAACCCTAAACAGCTAAACTAAACCCTAGAACCCCAAAACCCTAAAACCCTAAACTCCAAGCACCTAAATCCACGGGCCTGCTCCATTAGCCTTGGGCCAGAAAAGGCCGACCAGGGAAACCGCCACCAAAGTGGGTGGCCTATTACCCCTTGAGTTTAGGGTTTAGGGGACATTCTACCCAAAGGCTCCGTGTAGGTATATGGCATATACATAGGGCCCAAAGAAGTTCCCATATACCTACTTTAAGGCACAGTATACCAGGCACCTATATGGACCCTGTGGGCTAGGGTTTAGGGTTTGGGGAGTAGATGAGCGTAGGGTCTGACTCGAGACACCTGCACTCGCCGGGCACATCAAAGCCGGCCCGTCTGGCCGAACCTTCGCGTTCGCGGGGTAATTTCCCAAAGGGTCCATGTAGCAACAGTATGGGGTTTAGGGTTTAGAGTAGGTATA